CATCATAACAAAATAATATGTTTTCTTGGCTTATCTTTTAATTAATAGCATCTTGTCTTTATCACACACCAATTCATTTTAGCTTATTGACAAACTGGCACATACTTGATGTGAAAAACCTTATCAATACTTACTACTCTGAGAGAACCCAGGCAATGAGACTCAGCACAGCATGAAGAACATGCCACTGAGCAAAAAATTAGAGATTCAATAAAGACTCACATTAAAAAATAAAACACCAAATAAAACATGCCAGTTGTTTTATGTTCTTTTAAAGAAAACAATTTATAACTTTCATAGAGCTGTCTATATTTTATAAATCTTATTCAGAAAGTCTATGAAATCTAGGCAACTGAGGAAACCACGTACAATAAAAACTGAGTAATTGAGATTGTCTTTGTCTTCTTTCCTACGTTTATAATATTGTAATGTGAATAGAAGAGTCCATTCCAGTGGTTTAAAAATTACTATCTATATATTTTTTTTCTTTTGATACTGAAGTCATATGCCAGAGGAAAAAGAGATTCAATTATGATGGAAAAGCAGTTTAATTTCTATTTCAGACTGCTAGAAAAGTGTTAGCAAAGGCTTTTTTTTTTCTTCTTGCCATTTCACAGAATTTCATGCTGAGGAAATCCAATGCTGAGGAAAAGCATATATAAATTAGGAATAAAAATAAAAATAAACTCAGAATCAAAATTCTCCATTTAATGTGTAGATACTTAAGCCTCGAACACAGACCATTCAGATAACAACTGTGGAGGAGTGTCCAATGACATACCCTGGTTGTCTTGTATGGTACTTTCCATAGAATTCTGAACTTTTATAAAAATTTTATGTATTATTTTTTTCTCCTCTAATTTTAAAATCATTTGGAAACTTTTAAACTGCTTTCTATGTTCTTTAGAAATTCCCACTGTACTTCAGGACACCATTTGCTAAAGATAAAAATATTGATGGATCTTATTAAGTATTAGAAATCTTGAGGAGAGTCCCTCTGTGCCATGACTTGGTCACATGTTCCTCTCTTGCCCAATTCCTACTATGCTAAAGTAGCCAAGGTCCTGAATTTTATATTGATATTTCTGTTGAATTTTTTCTTAAAGGGAATATTTTTGGCATTTTATATTTAAGTGTGATCACCGCTCTAGGTTTTTGGTCTGTGACCTTTAACTGGTTTAAAAAACATTCTTTATTAGAAATATACATATAAATAAATTAGGATACATATATGCATATATGTATAAATCCTATATACCATAAGTACATTGTATATATGATTCAAAGAGGATATGTATGTTACATATCAATGATACAGGATACATATATGCATATATGTATAAATCATATATACCATAGGTACATTGTATATATGATGCAAAGAGGATATGTATGTTACATATCAATGATACATTATATAACATCATTTATATGGTATATAGAGCATACACATTTGTGTGTATGTGCAGATATGGCATGCATAACATTTTGATCAATAATGGACTGCATAGATGATGGTCTCCCTACAAAGGTGTATACAGGCCACATCATCTTAGTTTCTGCAAGTACATTCTATTATGTTAACACAACACTGAAATCACCTAATTATGGATTTCACAGAATCCATTCCCACTTGTTAAGCAATACATTACTGTATGTATAAATACAAATACATATGTTGGGAAAGAAAGTTTATAATCTCATGGTTGAAAACCATGATTACTTTTCAACTATTAAAATTTTTAAAAGTGGAGAAAGAACACTATGTTAGGAACAGTGATAAAATAGCAGACATAGAAGTCAGGCAAGATACCTTAATCAGTGTATTTCAGTACAAGCAATCATATACCAGAATACAGGTTTGTTAAAATATATAAAAAAGGTATTAAAAATCTAGAACCTGGAAAGAAATCTGAGATATCCATTTTCAAAACTAGTATGTCAATTAAGGCAGGGCCTGGTAGACAATCGGTAGACTATTATTATAGGGACCTGTAGGTTATCTAAGAATATATCTAATTACAAGGTCTGGTACTAGTGAGCCAAGGACAGGGAACGCTGATGGCCAGTTTTTGTGAAATGAGGAAGGTATTTTTCAGCCAAGGAGAAGCCGAGCTACAAGGATACCAGAAGATCCTGACTGTAACAAGCCAGGAGACAACGGTTTTATTGACAGTCAACAATTTAAAGGGATGTATAAATATAAATGTCAGCATTGAATCATTTTATACATCCCCATATTCCAGGATAAAGTAAAAACCAGTAGCACTTTGATAATTTCTATTAAAAATTAAAATATTAAAAATATACAGTTAGAAATTAATTAAAAACTTGAGCCCTGCTCCCACCCCCCCAAAAAAAAGGCAAAGAAGGAGAGGAGGAGATAATAGGCTTATCTTCAATATTCACCTAGATATTTCCTTGTTTTGTATTTAATTGGCATATTTAAACATTTTTAGTAATTAATACCAGTTATTATCTCCCTATTTTTTCAGTATTAAGTAATAAAATAAACACAAAACCTTTTTGGTCAATTTGCTTGAATCAAAATATTCTGCCTAGGGCTGGGGATTTAGCTCAGTGGTTCTGGTGACTGCCTTGCAAGTGTGAGGACTTGAGTTTGATTCCCAGTACCCCCTCAAAAAAAATTTGCCTTTCTGCACTGTGTGAATGGATTATTTATCAGGTTTCAGGCTTTCAGTGTAAATTTTCAAATGAATAAAATATCTAGAAAGCAACTTTACTAGGGCAGCAGGACTTCCCGGCTATGAAAATACAATGTAGTTCATATACCACTGAAATAACTGACATTAATTATACATTTGCTATTAAATTAACTCTACTGGAAATCTGTATCAGGAGCCAAAATACATGTTCTTCTCATCCATTAAAACTATTTCTAGGATTTTTTTCCTATGCAAATAATTCTAAGTACTGAAGAGAGTATAAACAGAAACATAATATCAATACAGTAAAAAAGGGAATAAAAGCACACCAAATACCACTTACTCATATTAAAAATTATCAAGTACCTATATGTGGCAGAAAGAATGTGAGCAATTTATCCTCTTGAAATTTATATTCTAATGAATTACACCTAACAAATAATTGTATTATATTCTGTAACATATATCTCTCTTTTCTGCCCTGCACTCTTAGCAGCTATATATTTTTCATGGTTTCCTGGTAGCTATGGAACTGGATTACGACTGTAACTTGGAGGATTCTCAAAAACTACTAATATTTGTGTTTTAAAATATTCTGAAAATACAAACCAGTAAAAAAGTATACAGAAATTATTCAAATCCCTTAAGATATTTCCACTGGCTTGAATTACTGGTGGTACATACATGACTGACTCATCAGTCAGCTCATACCACTGGTGGTACAGATAGCTGCAGTTGCTTTTATTGGTCTTTTACTAATAAAATTAATTTTAAAAAGCTACCCAATGGGACATGATGCATGAATCTCTGATGGTTCAAGTTGCCTGGCAGCAAGATGTACAAATTATGGCCATGCCATGAATGTGTTAATGGAAAATCCATATTATGAAGAAAGTACACATATAGAGAAGATAAGTATGGATATAAAATGATATAAAATGGCAATTTTACCCTATTTTTTATTTGTTCCAATATTATTGGGTTAAAAGTCACATATATTTATAAAATTATATGAACAGGTTGAGTTTTGAACTTTATGCCTTACAATTCTGTGAACTGTGTTATATTGTTTCATTTATTATAATTTTCGAAGATGGCAATTTCTCTTAGAACGAAAAGGAAACAGACAATTTCAACTTATATTCTTTCTCAGCAAAAAGGAAAATCTCTAATGAAATTGGCTGTAATTCTTGGTGAAGTCTTAAACTTCTTTTCTATTCACTGCTCTACATATTCTTGTTAAATGATTTCATATAATTTTGTATCTTGGGGCTGTAAGGGATCTATTTCTTTTATTTATCTAACTACTGCATGTATATACAAAAGTTATAGCTAAATTATCTTTTTCCTCCATTTCCAACCTAATGAGTCCTTTTCAAAATGACATCTTCACCAAATTACCATTAATCTATTATAGTTATTAAAATAATCAACCATGACATGTAATTCCATGTGCATTACCAATTTTATACTACAACATATAAAAAGATCCAATTACTGACATACAAATGAATCTTTAAAAATTATATATAACCATAAGTACTTTTTATGTT